CAACAACAACAACAACAACAACAACAACAACAACAACAACAGCAACAACAACAACAACAACAACAGCAACAGCAGCAACAACAACAACAACAACAACAACAACAACAACAACAACAACAACAACAACCACAACAACAACAGCAACAACAACATTAGAAAACGGCTAATAGAAAATTGTCTACATTGATACAACAAAATGTTATATCTCTACAGTTAGTAAAGACTGATTTGCATAAAGGGTTATGTTTAATTTAAAAATGATTTTATTTTATTTATTTCATGAAGTAAAACCAGTAGAATATATTGAATCCACCATACATGAGTGGAAATAGAACTAGCGAAAGTTTGTCAATAACTTTTGATAGACTGTTGTATTCTTTTCTGGAAGTATTTCGTTCAAAACTTGACGATTTTTTATCCTGATTGTGTGGGGCCGATATCTCGTCTTCGTTTTGTCTCATGCATAATTGAAACGACGTTCTGTAGTTTTTCTAAAGGTTTTAAGAAAAGAAATTCATAACGGTAAGTTGTACTATATAATTATGCATAAACTAGCAGAGAAACTAGGACTACTGTATTTATAGTGGATAGCTCTATCAGTTCTAAGCTGTTCTTCCTGGAGGTCCAGTAAGAATCATTCCTTATTGATCCAGTGTTATTACAAGAGGAAACCTAAACTAAACTAACTTTATTTATACTGGATAGCTCTATCAGTTCTAAACTGTTCTCCCTAAAGAGCTCCAGCAAGGATCATCTCTTATTGATCCAGTGTTACTACAGGAGGAAACCTAAACTAAACTAACTTTATTTATACTGGATAACTCTATCAATTCTCCAGTAAGGATCATCTCTTATTGATCCAGTGTTACTACAGGAGGAAACCTAAACTAAACTAACTTTATTTATACTGGATAGCTCTATCAGTTCTAAACTGTTCTTCCTAAAGAGCTCCAGTAAGGATCATCTCTTATTGATGGAGGAAACCATCAAACCAGAATATCCTGAAACAACCTACCATTGGCTTGGACTTCTTGGATGTCCTGGTGGATGTCCTATAAACCCACGAAGTTTCCAATAATGCAACTAATATGAATCCGAAGGAGACTAGAACGAACCAATCAGCTGCTTTTGCGTACGACACCGGCGGAAGTGACGTATTCATTTGCGTGTGTAGGAACACCATTGATACAAGCATAGTCGTAACCAGGACAAGACGGTTTGCAATGTCAGCGGGATCCATCAGAAATACCAACCAAGACAAGAATACCAGTGACATTGAGGGAATGTAGATTTGTAGAATGTAGTATCCTGAGCGACGCTTAAAGATCAGAGCAACACTTATTCGTTTCACTTTTAGCTTCTCTGAAAATGGAAAAAGTTATCGTTTGCATTTCGCTTTAAATAGATCACCATATAATCACCGTTTGTGGCTATAAATTATGCCGGATTTCGGCATTCTTATAGCCAGGGTTTGTGGCTATAAAGGATGCCGGATTTCGGCATACCTTAAGCCAGGGTTTGTGACTATAAAGGGTGCCGGATTTCAGCATAAAGAACTTGATAGCCACAGTTTGTGCACACTTAGTAACTGACCCCATCACGCTTCAAGTGAAAAGTATATAAGCACCCTGTAGAAAGTTACCTTGATTTTCAACAACACATTCTTTCGCTTCCACGAACTCGAATTGTGGAAGATGCACTGGAAGAATCTCTTTCTTTTGTAGAACAAAGGTCAGCAGCGACTTAGCGTACGCATCTGGAGTGAAAATAACAAATTTGAGATGTCATGAATTATTTTTTTCAGGGGGCACATTGTAATTCCTGAAGCCATCACGATCTTTCTCAACAGCCGAAATATAGGATGTCTCAAAAAAAACGCTATGGAAATTCAACAGGCTGTCGTGCATCATCGACTTTGATAAACAATTCAATTTCTACGTAGGACGAAAGAACAGTTATTTAAGAGTATCGTATCATTGAAAAGCTAAATAACTGTTCTTTTGTCCTCTGTAAAATTGAATTGTTTAGCCACGTTTGTGATGCACGAACAGCCTGTCGAATTTCCATAGCGTTTTTTTCTAGACACCCTGTATAACATGGTATTTTCGATCCTTTCATGTTTTCCTGGTGTGGGTGGGATTTTCCTTTCATGGAAAGTGTGGGTGGGTGTGATTTTCCTTTCATGGAACCAGAGTGATTAAATGAGATAAAGTTTGGCTAGCCTTTTGCTGATAGCTGAAGAATGTCCGCTTGGCAAAACAAGATTATAATGGCGTTGACACTTGCCAGATTATCGTTTCCGTTTAGGTTTTGAGGAAGTTTTAAC